GGGGGGTCTTAGGCAGGGGCTGTCGCTGGAGTCAGGGAGAGAAGTTTTGCAAGTTTGGTTGAATGAGAGAAGTGGATCGTTCCACCTTAGAGGACTATTCCCTCTGCTCTGGATTGCGAAGGATTAAACCAGGAATTTCCCCTTCCCGACTCTGTCCGAACACATAAAATTAATTTGGCCCTGCCCTGGAAATGCTCCACAGTGATTATCTTGGCCACTACACACTACACCAAGCTGATTTAATGGTTCATATCTGGGGTGACTTTTTTGAAAAATAAAAATCTCCATATTTCAGACTAGATGAATAACAAAAAAATTGCATTTGAATTTGAAGTAGTACCTGCTGGTAGAAAGCATAGATAGTCTGTTCAGCAGACAATTGCTTGAGCCCCGATGCAATACTTTCCTGGCCCGGGCATAAACTTGCAACTTCAACATGCTCTGTGGACACTATGATTCGGCTTCCCAGTTTGTTTTCTGGGAAGCAAGTTTTTATTCGATGCCATTCTTCAATGGTGGATAGTTCAGTAAGCACAATCAGGTATCTATTCTTGCTGACATATCCGTTGTACTCATGAGCCAACTCGTGCGTCGTCTTCTTTGCCTCTGGCTCCAGAAGAAATTCAACCACCCCTGCAGAGGTTCCTCGAAATTGTTCCACTATACTCTCAACAAACTCTTTGCGATTGAAAGGGTGCGTCACCCTGACCCAGGCCCGGCATGGGAAGTTGAGTTTGATGTTTGTATTCTCATAGGCCTCCCAGATGATGGAGGTATGCCCGAGGGTGCCGCTTGTTCCCCACACTCCAATAACTCCAGTTTGGTCTGAGCCCAAGCCTTTCTTGTTGTTGACAATCAGCTGAGTAAGATCCAATCTTGATCCTGATTCATGCTGACTTGTGGCATGAGTTCCTGCTTCATCGATACCAAACATGGCTGCAGCAGTGGTGATGGAGAGGTCAGAAGCTTTGGAGGCACAGTTGATGAGGTGGTACCGCACGTTCCTCTGGCTCACGTCCTTGACCTTGGCACGCAGCTCCTTCATCTGATTGGCGACATGGCGCCGATCGAGGAACGTGCGAGGGATGCGCCACCATGATTTCCCATGGACGCGGAGGACAAAGTCCTGGAGGCCATCCTCGACATCATAGGCCACGTCACGGACCTGCTTCACCCAGGTCCTCACCACCTTATTGTGCTCATCTCGCTCATCGTGTGCCACCATCAAGAAAGACTGCATCATCTCCAGCTCATCTGTGATGAAGGCCTTGTTGCGATGGACTCCGTACTGCAGAGCTACCTCCTCCACGATGGCGGATTTGGCGTACCAAATAGCTCCATTTAGCACTGATTTGCCAATGCTCAGCGCCGTCGCCTCCATCGGCACAAATCGAGCTTCCGTCTATCTCCCTCTCCGGTGAGTGTTTGCTTGTGGATGGATCTGAGATGCAGGTCTCAGGCTCTGAGGCCCTGTTTAGATAGATAGAAGTTTAGTCAGCAACCTCGATCATTTCACAACTTCCATTTTTTATCAAGACTACTTGGCAGGCTTCAAGTCTTCGCATATTAATTAGTTTTAGCAGCAGAACTCATTAGTTATTTCTGCAGCAGGCTCTCGTTCCAAGATACAGCGAAGCCTCATCACCCTCTCGTGCAAGGATCAATTGTTAATTTGTATTTCTATAAAGTATGGACGCTAGCTGTACAGACGCAAGAACAATCTCACTCGCCAAATTCAATTGCATGAACCAAGCCAGCTGCATGTGACCTCCTTACTCCACCATCAACAACCCATTACAGCTTGAAATTTAAATTTAGTGAAAATGCTAATAGCTGTCCGCCAGCTGCAACACTGAACAGAATATATACATCTAATGAACACAGAGTTTGACTATTTATCGATCCACTATGCGGGCTTGGCTGCACGTCGTCAGTTCTCAGGAATCGGGACTCACGAGAGGCATGTGAGTACCCATCCAAGTCATGACCAAAGATGACGGATTTGAAATGGATCTGAGTCGCAGGCATCAGACTCTTAGGCCATGCATGTTTAGATGGATAATGGGAGCTGCTCTCTTTTAGTCAGAACTTCTTTTATAGCTGTATGCATCACTATGATGCAGAGGCCAGGGGCTATCCTCCTTTTCTAAAAGAAAAACAATTAGATCTATCCATCAGTCGGTCATGTTTAGGTAAAAGTGAAAAATTACTCGGTCACAACTTTTCCATTTTTAATCAAGACTTGCCAGGCCACAAGTCCTTGCATGTTAGTTTCAACAATGGGACTCATTAGTTAACTCTGCACCAGGCTCTCGTTAATTTGTAATTCCGTAGAGGCTACAACGTCGGCATCCTCCCTGTACGCACTAGAGCTAGAGGGTAGTGGAGTAAAAAAAATTAAAAAGGCGCTGAAAATGTGCAGTCATGTATCCTGAACATGATTTCGGTCCTAGAATCAGACCCAGATAAGTAAAAAGGAGCAACCTCTCGTAGGTACAGCGACTATACATGTTATCGCTAGGAGAGCCAATGATATTTTACTTTCGGACAACAGATATAAAAATGAAATGCAAAATCAAATCCTTCATGATTGGGGGATTATGCTTTCGAGAGTAGATGTGTCTTCGTACCTTGTTTTGATTAGGTTAATCCTGTTTGGTCTTTTCCCTCCTATGCAAATTGTACTGCTTAAGTAAAATTTGTAAAAATGCCTCAAAAGGTACAACTATACATGAGCTGTTAGGAGTTAGGACCAAGTATGCATGTGGCATCCTTCCTCTGACAACCCACATCACGGCCTGAAGAAAGTAGTGGAAAAAATACAAGTTTGATGCTAATAGCTGTCTGCCCGCTGCGATAATGAACATAATATGTGCTCCTAGCCACTAAGTTTGACTAGAATAATACAACGGTGGGGAGTATACATACACGTTCTGGGTTCTTGGGACTTGCGTGAGGCATGTGATTTATTAGCCAGGACTCACGAAGAGCGTTTTTAGATGTTTAATTTACTCAAAGTACATATCCTGACCCCAAGACCGTGGCAATTATATTAAAATCTGACTATTTATAAGAGGAAAATTAGTATCATGCAAAAGATCAAACTGATATGGCGAGATTTTTCATGAAATACATAAATTACAAAATGAAGTTATTTGTATGTGAGGCAACATGTTTTCAGGAGAATTGATGTTCAAAGAGCACGAATGTCCTAAAAAAAACTACATACACTGGACTGGATGAAATCAAAACCAATCTGAAATATATTAGTTTTCACTAAAAAAAACTAGGAGTTCCGTATCTTCTGACTTGTACTCAAACTTGCAAGAATCTGAATGGAACGGCCCCATTTCACGAATTCTGATTTATGTCGGATAAATATATTTGCTAATGGGTTCGTGCTTACCTTTTAAAATTTGTGTGAGTGTTTTAAATTTCTACTATGTTTCTACTTTTATGTGCCCACATATAATATTTTTGCGGCTTTCCAATCCTAACATCCTCCGGTATTGTGTTTGTTGAGTGAGAAATCCAGCTACCAAATACGTGGTGGCGAATTTGGCGTACCCAAGCACTCATTCAGCACAGATTTGCCAATCCTTACCTCAGTGACCTCCATCAGTACCAGTTCGAGCAGCTTTCTCCCCCTCTAGCCCTATCTGTGTGGATGGATCTGAGAGCTCTATGTCCTGCTTAGATACATAATGGAAGTTTACTTAGCGACCTCGATTGTTTCACAGCTTCCATTCTTAATCAAGATTCGCTAGGCCTCAAGTTTGACTAATTATCGATAACTACAAAGGCAAATGCTAACGCAATCTTCAACGATCAATTGTACTACTACTACATGGTAACACAAAATTTAACCTACCTATAGATCTGCGCAGATGCATGTGCTCCCGTTGAGCACCCAAGATCGCATCACGTACTAGTTTAATTGACAGTGGGACTCATCGCTACTAGCTAGGCTTCACACCGATGACAGGATTAATAATTGTTAATTTCAATATGCAGAGCACCCCCCCCGGGTGGTGCAGAGGAGAGGTCGAACCTCGGAGATCCTAGGCGTCGCCGCCGGGGAGGAAGCGCGGCCCCAGCACGCCGGTCGGAGCAGACACGGCCACCGCCCCCTCCCTCCCTTCATTGCTTCGAGCCGCGGGCCACCCTCGCCCGAGCTGCGGCCCTGCGGCGGGGCCTCCGGAGGCACCGCCTAGTAAAAGCTGAGGCGGCTGGCGGCGAGGAGGGGCACCGCGCTTCGCGGCTGAGGCCAGGCGGCGGCCTCAAACCGGTGGGCTACGACGGCGGATCGAATCCATGGCGGCACACGGCGAAAAGGGAACGAGACGGAGGCGATGACTGATGTTCGTGGGTGGAGGATAAAAGCAAAATGCACACGAAAAAGTAGGGGTACTAAATAATAGTATCGAATTACGAGTCATATTTCCAACTAAAATCAAAAGCGATAATTACTGGGGTTCACGTTTTGAGCAATTTTAACAATATGACACTAATCAGTACGCTTTTTAATCAAGAGACTTGTCACGTGTTCAATCATGTACATACACGCGCCCGTCTATTAAAAAGGGACTATAAAATATTAGAAAAAATATGGATAGTAGAAACGTTTGATAAATTTGGGCCATAGCAATGAAATGAATAAAAATTGAGCAATCCTGCATTTCAGCAAATTATACATAATTCCTCTGGACAAAAAAGTGACAGAGATAATATGAGCAATCATCTCACATATTAATGGAAGATACCAAGACGAACTGATCTAAGTCAGGCCCTAGCATGCAAAATCGCATGATTTATTTAAGTTGCACTTGTGAATGGTATTAGCATAGTTGCACACGAGAGGAACAATGTGCAAATTGCTAATATATCTAGAAGGGCTATTAAGTTGATAGATCCAACTGAATGTTTGAGACAACTCATGAACACTAATGCTAATTTTTTTAACTGCTGAAGTTGATTGTCGATACATAGTGCAACACGAAAACTACACAAGTAGCGCCAAGCTCACAGTCATATGCCAAAGGAGAATTACAAAGAACGCCAGGGATCAAACATGACGGAAGGTGAAAAAGCAAGGGCTCCCCGTACAAAAGCAATAGAAAAGAAAATCAAGGTTAGAATTTACTTGATGATGGGGCACTTGATTCCTACGTCCTCAAGAATAACCCACTGGGCACTGGTCAACCCCGTCACCGCTTCCGGTTGCCAGTTGGGAATCTGCTTTTTTTTTAGGGGGATGTCGGCAATCTGCTGTTGCCAGTTGGTCTCTGTGCGGGCAGAGCAAGAATTGCGGCCCACTTAGAAATTTCTTGGCCGGCTTAATTAGAACAAGCCCAGGTCAATCACAGGAGCAGCGGCCCTTACACGTTGGGCAATCGGGATGCACAGTGAAACAATTGAACGATCTGTTCCGCTCGTAAGCTAGATCGACGGCTAACGAGGTCAAATGGCTGTGAGGTATCGTAGCTCGCTGAGTTATACCGTTTAGTACGGAGTAATAACCTCCATCCTAAATTTCTTGTCTTGGATTTGTTGAAAGTTATTTTTTTCTTAATCAAGAGTTTTTTCTTAAAGTTCGGGTCTTGGACTGGTGGGATGCGGCCGGATCTGTGTTTTTCCGGCGGGCGGCGCGGGTCGGGGCATCGGCCCGGCGTAGTTGCTGCTCCGGCCGTGGTCGCCCGCGGTGCTGTTTGGTCCCCGCGGCGGCTACACGGTGGTTCGGCGGCTCTGCCCGCGACGACGGTTGGCTCTACTCCAGCGTCGGCTCGTCTGCGGTCAGACCGTGTCGACCTTCGCTTCATCTCCTCGTCGTCCGGGCTCTAGTTCTGTTGAAGGGCTGGCCCTCTCCCAGCTCTGGTCCATCGTTCGTCTCGCGCCCAGTGCAGCGGGACCGAGCTCGTCTCGCGGCACACGGTGTCGTCGGACCGAGCTCGTCTCGCGCACGATGCAGCAGGACCGACCTCGTCTCACACATGGTGCAGCAGGACCGAGCTCTTCCCGCGCCCGGTGCGGCTGGACGAGTTGATGGAGGCCCGTTTTGGCCGGCCTATTGGGTCTCGGCGCTGGGGGTGTCCAGGGGTGGGAAAGTCGGGATCTTCCCGCTTGTCTCTTTGGTTTTGGTAGCGGTGGATCTCGGGTGAGATGGTGTCTAGGTCTTGGATTTCGGGACGGCGGCCCCGGGGGTGGTGGTTGCGTGGTGCTTTTGGGCCGAGCCCGCGGCTTGGTGCTGCTCGGTGCCCATGGCCTTGTGGCGGTTTGGTAGCCAGGGTGTGGCGATCGGTCGCGGTTCAAACAGTACTCCCTCCATTTACTTATACAAGATCACTATGAAATCGTAACACAAAGTTTTAGTACTCCCTGTGT